AAAACAAACAACTTTTATCACAGTGCAATATACACTGGCATTAAAAAACGAAACTAAAAAAAAAAATGAAACTAAAATGGGCTGGGGTTGTGGCTCAGAGGTAGAGTGCTTGCCTAGCATGAGTGAAGCACTATGTTTGATCCTCAGCACCACATAAAAATAAAATAAAGGTATTGTGTCCACCAATAACTAAAAATAAATAAATTTTTTTTAAAAAAATGAAACTAAAAGAAAGAAAGAAAGAAAGCATCTTCCAACTAGAAAATTTTAAAAGTTCCTAAACAACACCTGGATGAAAGGAGGCACAAAGAGAAAATTAAAAATTTCTGAAAAATAAAGATAATGAAAATACTGTTATCAGAATCTATTACATTTAATGTAATGATCAGAGAAAAGATCAGAATCTTAAGACTTTTAAATAAAAGCCAAAATAAAATTTCCTTTATTTTGAGGCAAAGAACCTCAATGTACAGCAAAAATAGACAAAAAGGAGAAATACTGAAATATAAATATTAATGAAGTAGAAAAAGAGAAAAAAAGACCAAATCAATAAATCAAATTCTAATTCTTTGAAAAAAAATCATTAGCTAATTTAATAAAAAAAGGAACAAAAGAAATGGCAAATAACACAGAGCAAAAAAAATTTTATCATAAAAGATCAGTTTCTGTACTTCCATGCAAATAAATCTGAAAACCTGGATGAAACAGATAACCTCTTAGAAAAGCAGAGTATGTCCAAACTCACCCCAATAGCAATATAAAATTAAAACACACCAATTTCCATATAAGACAGACTAATATCAAGGAACCAGCACAAGTGAAGACACACATAGTGTGCCTTGGTGATTTTACTAGATAATTGTACCAAATCTTTAGAGACCAGAGAGTCTCAAAGTTATATGAATTGTTTTATCATACAGAAAATCAAGGAAGACTTATAAATCCTTTTTATGAAGTATGATATCATTAATACCAAAACTTGATTAAAATAGTACATAAAATAAAATCATTTAAATATTGTTGCAAAGATCCTAAGTAAAATATTAGCAGACAGACTCCAACACCACATTAATGATATGATATGTCAAGAGCAAGTAAGGTTCAAACTAGTAATGCAAGGATAATTCAGTAATAGGAAACTTACTAATAAAATCTACCATGCTAATAGAACTAAGAAGAAAAATTATGATTATTTCAATATAACAAAAAAGACTTTGATAAAACTTAAACCCATTCCCAGCCCAATCCCATTTTGGTCTTGTAAAATCCTTGACCCCAAATTTTTACTCCAAAATCTCATTTCTATTAATTCACCTTGAAGATACACTTCTAACAATACTAAAATAAATATGCTTAAAAGTTATAAAGTACATTATGCTCTATAATTACAAAGTAGCCTAAATGATCCAAAATAAGAGACCAGTTGAATAAACAAGGGTACAGGTATATAATGGTGTGCTATATAACTGTAAGAATAAGGACAATCTCTTTGAGTTATATGAATAGATGCCTAGAAAAGAGTATCTTTGGTATATTACCATTGAATAAGAAAGAAGGGAAATATAAAGTAACATAGAGATGGCAACTTATTAAAAAAAATAGCCCCCCAAAGGATCAAAAAGAAAATAATAGTTTACCCAAAATAGGTTGGTAAAAAAGATAAAGGGAAAGAGGAGGAAGTGACACTTCTGAGTACTGTTATCCCTTGGTATCCATGAGGCACTGGTTCCAGGGCTCCCCACCTCAGCAGATACCAAAATCCAGGAAGGCCTCTATTCATATAACTCAAAGAGATCTTCCCTTCTGTGAAATAGCATAGAATTTGTATATGACCTACCCATACCCTCCTATACACTTTAAATCATCTTTAGATTACTTATAGTACCTAATACAATACAAATGTGTAATTGTTGCACTATATTTTTCAGAGAATGATAAGAGCAGAGTCTGTACAATGTTCAGAAAAAAATTTGTGTTTTCTGAAATATTCCAATCTGCAATTGGTTGAATCCACAGATACAGAAGGCTGACTATATAGGTGCCTCTGAACAGTTTAGATGTTTGCATGTTAATGTTTTATATTAAATCAGAAAAGATAAGGATGGGGGACCTAAAACTGAATGCAAAATAGCCAAACAACTAAACCCAGCTAAATATTAAATGAACATGACAACCACTCCAAAGCAAGGGTGAAAGGATAACTAATACAAGTAACTTTTAAACACAGTACCCTAGCTGTATATCCAGGGTAAAAAAAGGGAACTACAAACCAATCTGGAAGTTTTTAGTAGATTTATTTTTATAGTCATGGCAATTCCAAAACTATTTAATGTATTGTAAGATAGAGGCAAAAATATTAATTTGTTGAGATTCAGGATTCTCCAGGGCAAAAAGGAAGATACCGATGTAGAATGGGGAAAGCAAAGAAGAACTCTATGGGGCTGGACTAAAACTGGAGGTATCAGTATAAATTCATGACAATATTTGTGTATGTACCTGTATCCTTTATCTAACATGTAGATGATATTCCAATTCTGCTAATTGTTCCAGCTATCTCCTCTACAGCATCTTTTCCCTTCAGTTTAGATCTGAGTCAGCATTATATAATTGCAGTTAACTGTCATTTCTGGAATAGGAACTCTTTGTTTATTACCGAAAGAGCCTAGAAATAATGATTCCCTAGTTGTGGCCTAACAGCTAGAACTTGGTTTCTAAATGCCAACTCCTATTAAAAGAAACTAGACTTCTTTGGGGAAATGGCTAACTTAAAGCCTGGGGCAGGAAAGGTATGTGATGAGCTAGGAACATCTTGTGACAGAAAGAAAGTGTTCAAAACAACAACAACAACAAAAAGAACATGAGGGTAGCAAGCCAATAAGCCAAAGGAGCCAGGGCCCAGGTTGTATACAGCGCTTGCTTAGCATGCATGAGGCACTGGGTTCGATCCCTGGCACCACATAAAAAAAATAAATAAATAAATAAAAATAAAGGTAGTGTCCAACTAAAAAAAAAGACAAAGGAGGGCTGGGGATGTGGCTCAAGCGGTAGCACACTCGCCTGGCGTGCGTGCGGCCCGGGTTTGATCCTCAGCACCACATACAAACAAAGATGTTGTGTCCGCTGAAAACTAAAAAATAAATATTAAAAATTCTCTCTCTCTCTCTCTAAAAAAAAAAAAAAAAAAAAAAAGACAAAGGAGCCAGCTTGTAGGATCTTGTACTGACCAAGTATGGAAAAATTTGAACACCAAATTGAATATGTACAGTGACAAATTACAAACTCATGAATAAAACAGGAATCTATGAATCCTTACTGATAATAGATAGGTAGATAAATAAGTACATAAATGGGAAAAAAGGGCTTTTTTTCATAGTACACAGGCTGATAAATGTGGAAGACACCTGCAGCTGCAAAAGAATTTTGTATTCATATTAAAAATGGGGTTGCAGGGCTGGGGCTGTGGCTCAGTGGTAAAGCACTCGCCTAGTATGTGTGGGGCACTGGGTTCGATCCTCAGCACCACATAAATATAAAATAAAGATATTGTGTCCACCTATAACTAAAAAATAAATATAAAAAATAAATCATTAAAAAAAATGGGGTTGCAAAAATGCATCAATGAATGCTAAGACAGAAAGTTTGATCTGGATTAAGAATATGGTCTTAAACAGTTTCTCCAGAAATAGCTTTTTAGTTGCAAGGGGAAAAATAACTATACAGTGGAGAAATCAAACATCTTGACCATATAACAAATTTAATAAAAAAAAAAATGTAGGATACCTTAGGATGGGATAACCTGCAAAAGACATAACAATCACTTCTGTGGTATTCTGAATAGGGATGAATAACCTCTATTAATCATTAGAAAAATCATACTAACTTAAGTTGGAGAATAGTCTATAAATGTATTTTCCAAAAATGTTACCAACATGAAAGCGGAGGAAAAAAAAAAACCTAAAGAACTATCCCCCAATAATAATTAAGTGCAATGTATAATCCTGAATCAGATCTAAACTGAAGGGAAAGGATGCCATACTGGAGATAGCCAGAACAATTAGCAGAATTGGACAATCTGCAAGATTAAATAAAATGTCTCAATTGAATTTAATTGTATAAATATTTAATTAACTAAATTTGATTACCATAAGAACATAACATTTTTATTCATAGGAAATACACACTAAAGTATTAAAGATAAAAAGGAAAGATTTCTGCAACTAAAACTCAAATGGTTTAGAAAAGGAATGTGTGTGTGCCTATGTGTGCTCATACATGTAAAAAAGGAGGAAGAAGGAAAATCAATAATAAAAAATGACAACTGATGAATCTTTTTTTTTTAAGAAGAAGGAATATTTTTTAAACTTTATTTTATTTATTTATATGTGGTGCTGAGGATCAAACCCAGTGCCCCACATGTGCCAGGTGAGTGCTCTACCATGGAGCGGAGCCATAACCCCAGCCCCAACTGGTGAATCTTAATAGAGGTAGTATGATAGGAATTTTCTGCATCATGTTTGCAACCTTTCTATTAATGTGATTTTTTTAACTTGAAAAGCAAGTAGAAAAAAACTGTCTTAATTATACTTGCATTTCCTTTCCTTCCCCCACTGTATCCATGAAGTTGACACAAAATCATTTAACTACATATTCATACTCCTGAAAGACAAGGCCAGTTTTTGTTTATTAGCTCTTTGGCTTATTTTCCATAAGGAGCTTAATCTTTTTTTTCCCCCTGAAGTCACCAATTGCTTTCTTTGCCGTTCTTTTAATGAACTATGATGATCACATCATTGTCATTCTCAATGACACACTTCACTGAGAAAAGAAGGTAAGGACATAGGTCCCATAACTATTTCCTTCCAGTTCTCAAGAGTTTTAACCCATACTCTGAATAGAATGAATGTTTAAGGTCCAATAACAATAGAAAAGTATATAGATCTTGATAACTGATAAAACCATATAGAACATCCATCTCAGTGGCTAAAAAAACATATACTTACCTTCTATTTCTTGCCCAATAGAAAGTCCAGCCCATTTTCGCTAAAAAATAAATGAGAAAAAGAAGCACTTGAAATAAAATCAATCAAAATTAAAGAAATAAGGAAAAGAAGAACACATTCTAAGACAAAAATATTGTATGTTGTCATGTATTGAATTCTGCATCCTCTCCAATATGGTGAAGTCTTAGTCCCTGGTACCTGTAAACATGACTGTATTTAGAAATAGGGTCATTGCAGATGTAATCATGTTAAGATGAGATCCTACTGAATTATAGTGGGCCCTAAGTCAATATAACTGGTGTTCTTTTAAGAAAAGAAGAAACACACAGACACAGAGAGAATGCCATGTGATGAAAGAGCAGAGACTTCAGTGATGTATACAAGCCAAGGAGCATCAAGGATTGCCAGCAACACTGGAAGTTAGTATGGAACAGACTCTTCCTTAGAACCTTCAAAGAGAGCATGGTGCTGTTGACATCTTGATTTCAGACTTTTAGCTTCAAAAACTACGAGAGTTTTTGTCTTCTGAACTTTCTTTTTTTATTATTATTGATATTTTTAATGTTGTTTTAAGAAATACAATTTGTGGTTCTTTGTAACAAAGCTCTGGGAAATTAATACACAGATTAGAGATAACTTCTGAACATTTGCATAAAACACATGAAGCTGGCCTTTTTACAGTGAAGTTGGCCCACTGAGTAGGATGCTTCTCTATACAATACTATGCTCTTGAAGTCTTTACTCTATCAGATATTTCAGTGTTCTGAATATACTGCTGCAGTTAGTTTTACTATTTGTACAGTATCATAAAAAGAAATTTAATGCATGAAAACTAAATTACAACTGGTCAGATAATCTATATGGAAACCCAAGAAGGGACTCAAATCATTACATAGTCATGACTATTCTTTGTGTATTGGATAAAGAATTTTCAGGTATTTACAGTCATACTTCAACCTCTCCCTGATCCTGTCTAAAGTAGCAAAACTGTATAAAGGGAAGACAGATTATATGCAGGCAGGAATTTGGGGCTGGCTTGTTATAAATTCAAAATTAGTAATTACTGATAATATGCCAAAGAACAATGAGAAAAATAGTTTTGGGCTGGAAATCCATAGTTTGCATATTCATCTGAACACTGGATTTTACAGTGTGAAGCTTAGAAGATGGTGCATCATGTAACAACAAGCACTCTCCTTCCAGCTTTCTCACCATAGGTCACATTCCCCTTCTCTGCTCTTCATCTCCCCTAAAAAAAAAAAAAACTCTTCTATAAAATCCCAACTCACATCTAGCCAACGTGAAATACAGGAGCATGCTGGTTAGAGTCGCATTTAGGTTCTGTACTTTAATCCCCAAAACAGCATTAAGGGATGATACTGATAGTAACTCTTGTATGGGGTTGTTCCAAGAATTAAATGAGTTAACACATTCAAAAGTACTTGAATAGTGCCTGATCTAGAGTAAATCTTGGGGGAAAATTTTTACAAAGCAGAGACAAAGAGAAATGGCTACCTCAAGCTACTTCTGACTACTGGAATCCCAAAAAGTTCTCTAAAAGCTGGCAAACCATGGGATATCCCAAATTGTTAATCTGCAGAAACAAATGTGAAAAGTAGTCCTAATAATGGAGAGGCATCCAAACAGAAAAAAGGAGAACAGTAAGTAAAGATTTCCCAAAATTTTTGAGTGTTTCAGGAGATCTTTAATAGTTCCCAAGTAAGTGTTTGATCTCTTTCTCTAACCTTAAATAAATAAATAATGCTTAATTTCTTATAAAGAAATAAATCAATGTTTACTAACACACTAGAAAGAGGTAAGATAGCATTCACATTGCTTAGGAATGTGGGGTGACTAGCCTGGGTAAAATGACGAATGGGAAATGATGCATGCTTGTACCTGTGGTGCTCCATTGTCATGTACTATGAGCACTGGGACCCAAATAGACTCCACAGAACCCACCCCCAGTCATAACTGGAATCACAACCCTTCCAGTTGTTGGGGGAGCCTAGCAAGTTAAATTATAGTTTGAGGTAACTACTTTTTTCATGTTCTTTAGTCTGACACCATTATATTATAAAATTTCTACTATTAGATGTCAATTTTACAAATAAGATTATTTTTATATCATTTCTGTTACCCTGAGAGTTAGCATTAAAATCATTTGACACTGTATCTGATGGCTGACTGGTATTACTGCTGAATTTTTAAAAATTAGAACAAAATCAAGGCAATAAAATGTAGCCATAGTAAAAAAAATGATAAGAATATATCTTTAAATTACTTATATAATACCTATGTATTTTTCTTAAATATGAATAAATAATTTAGAGAGTGATGCTTGCTTAAAATGAATGGACTCTTGTATGACTTTCAAGAATAGGAAAGAATAAATGAACATCTGAATTACCTGAGGTAGGCTGAATGCAATGCTCCCTGGCACCACTGATGGATGGGTCCTCAGTGTAAATGTGTACCTGTGACTGGGAGAGGTCCTCACAATCACATGCCTAAAAGAAAACCAAAAACATAGTCAGTACTTCATATCAAAGAAAAAGAAAACATAATTTCTAAATATATTTTTTCCCAAACTGATGTCTAATGAGTACCAAATAGAAGCATTGCGCCATATGACAATCCTGAAGGAACAGAATCACAGATTTAGTTTCCAAAAACTATCAGCAATTTAAAATGTTTTCCGGACATAAAGAGCACTCTGGGCCGCCAGGCATGGTGGAGCACACCTGTAATCCCAACAGCTGGGGAAGCTAAGGCAGGAAAATCGCAAGTTTGATGCCAGGCTCAGCAATTTAGCGAAACCCTCAGCAATTTAGCGAAACCCTCAGCAATTTAGCAAGACTGTGTTTCAAAATAAAAAGTCCGGGGAATATTTCAGCAGTAAAGTACCCTAGGGTTCAATCTCCAGTACATACATACATGTTTATACACACAGACAGACAGACAGACACACACACATAATAAAGACCACCTTGGGCCATGGACATATCAAATAAAATCCAGCCAAGTTCAATAGAGTACATCTAATCCAAAAAAAATCAACTTCATCACTTTCCACTTTATATAAATCAGAAAACAGTGATTTAGAGTCCTTGATATTAAGTAAAAAATAGATTTCCTCTCCTGAGAATTATTTCACACATCCTAACAAAATAAAGGCAGGAGAACAAGAGATAAAAGAGCTAGAACATAGCAGTAAAAAACAAAGTTAGTTTTTAGAAATATTCATTAAAAAAATTTAACAGACTCTCAAAAGCTAAAACAATAACACTATAAAATAAAAAGATGAAAAGTATGAAAAAATTTCCCCAATGACATCAGCTTTCATGTACATATTAATATTTACAATTTCAAAGAATTTTGTGCTAATACTCTGCTCAAATGCTACTCATAAATACATATATTTATTTTGTAATAATCTTCTACATTAAGAGACTAACAAGGACTGTTTATAAAATAGAAGTTCTAAATTCTGTTATCCAACAGCACCATATTTTCTTTTCCTTTGTGGTGCTGGGAATCGAACCCAGGGCCTCATGGATGCTGGGCAAGTACTTTACTACTGTGGTACACTGCTAGCTCAATTATCATTTTTAAAATTATATTTTACAGCCAGGCACACGGCACACACCCTGTAATCCCAGCAACTTGGAAGGCTGAAGCATGAGAATCAAGTCCAGCCTCAGCAACTTAGTGAAAAAAGGAAAAAGGACTGGGGATGTAGGTTGGTGGTAAAGTCCCTCTATGTTCAATCCTGAGTATCAAAAAAATTAAATAATGGCAATAATATTAGATAATCTTTTATGATACTATAATTTTAATGCTAAAGGTTAGCATTTCTATACATATTGCTTTGCCACTAGTCCACAAGTTCCTTATAATTACTATATTTTAAGTAACCCAAAGTTCAACATATATGAAAACATTTCATAAACAAATTCTCACATTGATTACCTATACTTCAGTTTATTTGTTGAAAGTCCTGTGTTCAATTTAGCATCAAAGAATGTTTAGCACTGGAAATAATGTTAATATAATCAAGTATATAATCAATGCCTCTTAACTCTAAAGCTCAATTAAAATCCTGCTCCTTTGTTCTTTATGTCCCTAGACTGACTTTTGGTACAGCCCCTTCAACTCCTAATCTCTATCAATCTCAGAAGCATGTGTATGGCACAGAACTTGGAAGCAGGGTCCTTGGAAGATTAGTGGGTGATGTGAATCAATTGAAACAAATTATGATGAAAATGCTTTCAAAGATTCCACATTTCTCATGCATCTACCAACTTTAGTATGTCAGATTATCATAGTAATAATGTTCTAAATAGCTAAATTTTATTGAGAGCTTACTTATTTACATGCTAGGGACTATTCTAAGTGTTTTATCTGTGTAACTTAATCTTCACAACTACCCTGAGGAAGATATTAGCATCATGCCCATTTTATAGATCAGGACACAGAGACACAGAGATGGTGAGCCTGGACCCCAACTCAAACAATCTGACTCCAGAGTCAAACACCTAATAACTATGCTAGCAATGAATCAGATAACCAGTATGTTTAGCTCTGTGAAGAAAATTAATAAAAAATTAAGAGTGATATATAAAAGCTATATATGTCTTTTAAAAGTTTGATACAGTAATAATTAAAATGCCTAACTCTCATTTCCTTCATTTTCCAATTCAGTAAGAACAATACAAAAATAATTCTGAAGTTTCCTAAAAATTACTCTTTGGAGTTTCTTAAATATAACTTGCAGGTTAAAAGAAAACAGATACTCACTGGCCAGACTGGAAATCCTTCTCATTCACAACTGCACAGTTGGTTAATGACAATTCATCTGTAGGACATCTTGCAGCTTGCATACTCTAAAAATCAGTGGTTAAGAAGATAAAATGAAGTTAGGATTTATTTCCTTAAAGATTATCTTATGTCTTCCTGAACTGTATTCTTCATCACTTGTAAAAAACCTCTACTGTTTTTCACTCCTAGAATCCCTTCTGTGGTAGACGCAAACCCTTCCTTTGGGAAACAAATCCTCCCTCATTTCATGTGGGTTTATGGGACTGCCAATCACAGAACGCACACATATACACTTTAACTCACCCACAGGATTTTATATGTACAGGCACTAAAAGAAAAGCATTCTTTTTGCTGCATTACCATACGGAGGAAGATTTTCTACTCAAAAAAGACAGTAAAATGGTCACAAAGAAAGCAGTCAGCAGAAACATAGACAAATAGCTTTATGGAAACTCAGACTGGACAAAGTTTAAGTCCTTGAAACCAGTCCTAAACAGGTTATAAGACAATAAGTAATTTTTTTGCTCAGCTTATTGGACTCCAATACAATAAGGGGCTTTCCATTGCATCATTTCATTCACAGAAAAGAATGCTTTTTTTTTTCCTTTTTTGGTATTAAGAATTGAACCCAGGGGCACTTTACCACTGAGCTATATCTCCATTATTATTTTTCATTTTGAGAAAGGGTCTCGCTAAGTTGCTCAGGACCTCAATAAATTACTGAGGCTGGCTTTGAACTCTCGATCCTCCTACATCAGCCTCTCAAGCCACTGGGATTATACGCATGCACCACTGTGCCTGGCTAGAAAAGAATCTTGGCTGATGAAAGTGTTGTGAAGTTAATTCCACAAATTATAAAAAGCATCTTGTTATAAGAGATCCTAAGTGGCTATGAATCATGTCTCCTACAGATTAAGAAAACCTATCTTTTAAACCTCTTTCAACAAAAATAATTACAAGGAATACTTTAAAAGAAAAACAATTAGTGGCCCTTTTGGTTAGCAGTTACTAGCAAAATGTTCAAATGATGTTTTTAACCAATAACCCCCCCATTGTTCTCTAAGTTTCCGGGGAGCATGACGCTAGGACACATTCCTTTTATAAGTGTTCATCCCCCAAATCTCAAACCAAAGCAGATTATTCTTAAATTTGTCTCCCAAACACAAATTTATAGAATAAGATGAATCATTTTTTGCTATGCTTTTAACTAAAAATTTCAAAATCATCATTCCAGTTGTTTTGGACTAAAGTGGGACACATTCACAAGACAATCCTTTGGGATATAAGAAGAAAATACTAGTACTTTATTTATATTTATTTTATATCAATTTTCTCATTTATATATGACAGCGGAACACATTATATTTCTTATTACATATATAGAGCACAATTTTTCATATCTCTGGTTGTATACACAGTATATTCACACCAATTCATGTCTTCATACCTGTACTTTGTTTGGATAATAATGATCATCACATTCCACCATCATTAATAATCCCAAGCCCCTCTCCCTTCCCCTCCAACCACTCTGCCCTACCTAGAGTTCGGTCTATTAAGTTCAAGAAAAAAAAAATGATTTCAAAAGTGCAGCCAAATTCCCTCATTTTGATCCAGACATTGACATGCAATTAAAATCAAGTATCAAGATAAACTAAATTTAGGGCTGGGGTTGTAACTCAGTGGTAGAGCTCTTGCTTTGCATGCGTGAGGTACTGGGTTTAGTCCTCAGCACCACATAAAAATAAGTAAATAAATATATTTTTTAAAAAGTTATCACTTGTTAAAAAAAGATAAACTGAATTTAGAAATAGCCCTCTGAATACATACAGCAACATCTTAAAGAATGACGTATCACATTGCTGTACGTATTATTAATAAAATAAAAATCATGAGATTAATGTACATTTAGTTTTAGCACATCTTTTTTATATGTTAAGTATGGATATATACTGGGGGTACATAAGACATTTTTTAATTTTGGGATTCATGATCAAATGTTTGGAAGTCACTAATTTAGCATATGAAATGAACAGCCAAGATCACAAGTCTGCTTGCTGAATGAGAGAGCATTTTGCCAAGGTCACACCTTGACCAGGTATCTAACACCCTCCCAGGGTCTCTTTAGCCTGTGAGTTTCTTCCTTTTGTATTCCTTCACCAACCCTCTGCCCCTTGCCTGGGCAATTCCTACTCATCCTGCCATTTTCAGCTTAAACATTACATTTTCTAAGAGGGCTTCCTAAACACCTGCCCTACCAACTAAAGAGATAAAATAAACTTCAGATGGAAGCACCTGACTATATTTTTGCTATCTGCCTACATGTTTGCACTGCATATAAGAAAATAAGTTTCTGAAAGACTGAGACTATATTTTGCTCATATCTATAGTTCCCGGGACTAATACCTGGTCTGACAGTCAGTATTCATTAAACACCCATTAAATATATAAATTTATTGATCAATACCTATCTGTCTCAACTGAAGAATAAACAATCCAAGGAACATGAATGCAAAGTACTGATCATTTCATGGTTATTTAGGAAGTAATACAATTGTTCAAAGTTACATAGAACTGATTTTGCCAACTGTGTGCAGTGGCACACACTGGTAATCCCAGCTACTCAGGAGGCAGATACAAGAGGATCCCAAGTTCAAGGGCAGCTTCAGCAACTGAGTGAGACCATGTCTCAATAAAGGGGGGTGGCTAAGGATGTAGCTCAGCAGTAGAGGGCCCCTGGGTTTAATCCCCAGTATTGCAAAACAAGCAAACAAAAAACCAACCAGATATTCCAAAGTAATAAAAAAAAATTTACAAAATGCCAAGTTAACATTTTCATTTGTAAACTTGTTTGCTTGTCAGTGTCCTTTAACAAAGAGAGAATAAAAATCTATAGAAGTCATCTGGCTAACCTACTAAAACAGATGCTGCGAGCAAAAGGCCTCCCTACTGGAATCTAGAAGCATCTGTGTTTTTATGGAAAGCCAAGCAGGATATCTCATTTTTTTCAACAAAGTGTAAATCCCTATAAATAGTAGCTGCCTACTTACCACAGTAATGCCAAGGGAAAATTCCACAATTTTTCTGACATTGACCCTGCCTCTAGGAAACAGTAATAAAAAACAACCACTATAGCTGTACAAAATTGTTAATCAGTTTTATGTAAGTTTAGTTATCTGAGTTACTGCAATACTGAACTGCCTAAACAATGAAGAAATGTTTTCATTATAACAATCTGAATTATCAAAAATTATAAACTACTTGCTCTCTAAAGAATGAAAATTCCACCAGGCACATTGGCCCATTTTTATAATCCCAGCAATTTGGGACTCAGCAAGAGGATCACAAATTTAAGGCCAGACTCAGCAACTTAGCGAGGCCCTAAGCAACTTAATGAAAACCTGTCTCAAAATAAAAAGGGATGGGGATGTGACTCAGTGGTAAAGTGCCTCTGGGTTCAACCCTGAGTACCAAAAAAAAAAAAAAAAAAAGAAAAGAAAAGAATGAAAATTTCAACAAGCCTTTAATAGAAACTTTAGTGAAAATAATTATATCATTATTTATTGAGAGCCTTGAAAATACAGAAAGGCAATTTGCTTCTGTTCATCAAACAAAAATTGAGGGAATTTAGCCAGGATTCCTTTGGGCAACATTACACTGCTTTAGCATTTAAATAATACACCCTTTACCTAAAGGACCATTTTAAAAATTGAATGATTTAATATTTAATGCTTTATTGTTTACCAAATAATTCAGGAGGACAAATTCAACAGAAAGAAAAACAGAATGTGGTTCCTGACTATATTACTAAAGGCTTATTTTGAGTTTGAAATCACTAAGTTAGCACAATTAGCTGCCCCTACCCCAACTGTAACCTTGGTGCATCTGCCAGTCCTTCCTCTGTGGTGCTTAAGATACTGGTTAAGAGACATCTCTTGAGAGACACATATCCCCACAGGAAAGAGAAGGACAAACCACATGAATTTGCCCCAGGGCCAGCTCAGCTGACAATCTCACTTACATCTCCTCTAAAAGGATCGAAAGAAAAAATAAATAAAATAAAAAATAAATAAATAACATTTTAGAACTGCACTTTCTGATAAAGGAACCACCAGACATATAAGACTGAAAATAAATTTAAATTATGGGGGGAGGGAGCAGGGGATCATAGCTCAGTGGGTAGAGTGCTTGCCTCACATGCACAAGGCTCTGGGTTTAATCCCCAGCACCACCAAAAAAAAAAAAAAAATTAGGACTGGGGATGTAGCTCAGTGATAAAGAGTACTTACAGGCATGTGGGAGGCTCTGGGTTTAGTTTCCAGTACCACAAGGAAAAAAAATTAACAAATAATTCAGTTTTTAGTTACATTAGCCGTATTTCAAGTGCTGCTAGTGGCTATAAAGTTTCATGGGGTAGTGCTGGTTTAGAACAAACAAAAAAGACCACATGTAATACCCACCTTCAGCCTATAGAATCCCTCTGCTATAGATTCTTATAATACTTTCTCTTAAAATTCTGAAGCCATGTAGGACTAGGAGTGAATGGCATAGAAAAAGTTGAACCTGTGTGTCCTACAATTGTCTCTCAAAGAGTCTCTAGGGATACCCTTAACACTCCCCATCTTAGACTGATAACTATTCATACAATGAATGAACCTTCTGATATCATTTAGGTCTTTTAAATTCCTTTAATTTATAAATTATTGAAAAAGGAAAAAAGTCGTTGGGTAGAAACATACAAAAAAAAATGTAAAAGACTGACAATGTCAAATATTGGCAAAAATGTGATGAAGTTTCCTATAGTTAATGTCACCCAGCAAGTATACCCCTGAATTTTTCACCAAGGAAATGAAGACATGTCCACACAAAGACTTGTATGTAAACATTCATAGCAGCTGTATTCATAATAGACTCAAAATGGAAATGACACAAATATCTTTCAAAAGATAAATGCATAAACAAATTGTGATACACTCATAAAATGGAAGAGTACTCAGCAATTAAAAAGAAAATAGCAGCCGGGAGTGGAGGCACATGCCTATAATCCCAGCGGCTCTGGAGGTTG